GCCTCTACTCTAAGCAAACCAATATGCATGTTCCTATTACATAATGTTGGCATGTGTTTATAATTGTGCCATAAGCACTTAAGCTTCGTCACCAACCAAACTACAAATTGAATATCATAGAAGCCACCGACCAGCAGAAGCAAAAATTAAAAAATATTAAAAAATCTTGGCCTATAATGGTTTATGGAATGAACAACTGGATTCATAATGCTTTCGGTATCACCAACACAACATATAGGTGAGTGATCATTGCCAATATGATAGTGAAACACATAGCGGTTGACAAGAGCCACATAAATAAAAGATGCTTTAGATTAGATGCAAGAGACAGACTTCTGATGACCAGGGTGCATAGCCTAATACTGCAGTTCCAACATAACATGGTTTTTCTTGGGAGCAACACACATCTCCTCGAATGTTATGGCTACAAGGGTATACTGATGCAATACTTTCCAAGCTGCAATACTCTTGTAGCCATAGCCATCACCATGTCTTCTGTTCTACCGTCGTCGTTTTCTAGTCGTCTTTTTCCCCTTTTTGTAGTAGTGTATCATTAAAATTTGTGTTGAAGTGGAGCTCACTTAATCAAAGTATATAAAAGGCTGAAGTACCATGACTTCCAACTGTAGATCTTAATGTGATGAGAGGAGAAGGATGAGCCAAGAAAGGAAGGTGGTGTGTGTAACAAGAGCATCTAGTTTCATAGGATCATGGCCTATCAAGCTCTTGCTAGAATGAGCTTATATTGTCAAAGCCACTGTCTGTGACCCAAGTCAGTATATCTATATTACATATTTCTTGATCGTTGGATTGTTTGTATGTTGCATATTAAATCTACCAACACATTTAATAAATGCAATCCAACAGCAGAGATTAGAAATATGTAATCAATTATTAACTTAAATACTTATTGGAGAATAATATACTATACTTCATTTCTTCTCGCTTTCTCTCACTAAACTTGGTATCAAACTAATTACTTGCTTGCTAATCATTTCTTTTTCAATTTTTTTTTTTACAGTTTTCATTTTTCATTTTTTTTTTAAGTACTGAGAACATGTTTGGTAACTTTTTTTTCTTCAATGATTTTCATTTTCAACTTCTTGGTTTTGATCACATCAACAAAAACTTGTGAGTTTCGGTTGTTGTTTTCATGTGTAATCATGTGATTAATGTTAGACAATTAAGAATATGGACTAATCATGAATATGGAGTGTAAGTGGACAAAATTGGAGTGGGGAAATCACCACTCTAAAAATAAATTAATAAATGGAGCATATGTATGCAGAGGCCCTTTTGATGAACAAATTACTTTTGCATTTATGCCTGTGATGCCACAGATGACTTAAAGAAAACAGAACACTTATTGGCACTTGATGGGGCAAAAGAAAGACTGCATTTGTTCCAAGCAGATTTGATAGAAGAAGGATCTTTTGACGCTGCAGTAGATGGATGTGACGGTGTTTTTCATACAGCATCCCCTGTCCTATTTTCAGCCACTAACCCTCAGGTACTATATAATAGCATTCATCCCTTTACTTTCATTTCTTATAGTCTAGAGTTCAAAACTGAAATGGTTCTTTTGTCTACACAATCTCAGGCAGAATTAATTGACCCTGCAGTGAAGGGAACCCTTAATGTTCTAAAATCGTGTGTAAAATTTGCTACCGTCAAGAGGGTAGTTCTAACATCTTCTATGGCTGCAGTCATTGTCAATGGAAGACCATTGACCCCTGATGTGGTGGTTGATGAAACATGGTTTTCAGATCCTCTTGTGTGTGAGAATTTGAAGGTAAGTGTGTAGGCTCCCATGCTTATAATCTTCTTCCAAGTTACACCTTTTATTCATGAAATTCATTATCATTTGTTATTTGGCATCTTCTGTTGCTTCAGTCAAGGCAATATATCTTGGTTTAGTATGAACTCCCTTTCCTCTCTATGTCCAGGAATGGTATTTTCTTTCAAAAACTTTAGCTGAGGAGGCTGCTTGGAAATTTGCTAAAGGAAATGGGATTGACTTGGTTACCATAAATCCATCATATGTGACTGGTCCACTCTTACAACCAAGTCTTAATCTCAGTGTGGAGATGATTCTGAATCTCAAAGATGGTACACTTCAGCAACTATATATATATATATATTTTAGAGCAAGAGTATGATGGAGACACAGAATTAACTTAGTTAGGGCCGCAAGCAAGATTGGTGTAGATGCAGGCAATTTTTTAGGAAATTAGATGTGTACCAAAACATTTGCTTGGAGTACGAATGTTCATCAATTGTTAAAGTAACCAAATCCTGATTCTTGTGGTGCAAGATTCAAATGATTCTTGTGATGGAAGTTTGTTTCTTTTCTATGCATGCAGATATTGAAGATGTAAACAGTTCAATTTATCCATCTAGTGATGTTAGAGATGTTGCCTCAGCTCATGTTCAAGCATTTGAGGTTCCTTCAGCTAATGGAAGATATTGTTTAGTTGGACATGTTACACCCATGGCCAAGGTCCTGAAGATTTTACATGAACTTCATCCCTCTGTGTGTCCAGCTGAAAAGTAAGTTATAATTTGCAAAATGCCACAAATTGGCAATTTTCTTTTTCAAATATGACAAATTTCTAAGGGAAGAAAAGATTTATTTGTTTCGTTGTTGGCAGATATGTGAAGGCCAATCCTTCTGAACCCACATTTCAAGTATCACGGGAAAAAGCAAAAAGTTTGGGAGTAAATTTCCTTACAGTGGAAGTAAGTCTTAGGGACACTATTGAAAGCCTCAAGGAGAAGGGCTTCCTCAAGGTTTGAATTATGCAACTGACAGCAACTTGCTCATTGCACAAGTTGATCGCGTATTGGAAATTCAAGTGTTTTTTTTTTCTTCTGCTAAATTTATTCCAAGAGATTGTGAAAGTAATATTGTTCATGCTCAGACTTTTATCTGCAATTGCCCAAAATGGTCAGGAGTTGCTTTCAGCTCTTGATAGCTCAATTGAAGAAACCCTTGTTTGAAAATGAACCAAACCAAGTAACTTTTCATTTCTCTGGTGTACACCAACCAAAGTGCCTTTAATTTTTCTGTTTTCTAATAACAATTTCTATTAGCTTTTCATTTGTTTATATGGCCTGATCGTGTTATGAATTAATCATGTATTTTATTACTATCTCCAGTAAAACAAGAGTGCAAACAAGACTATAGAGTTTGAAAATCACAATAACCAGCAAATGAATCATAAAATTAAAAAAGCATTTATTGATGAGGATTTCTAAGAACATGTATAATTCTTGACAGAGTTCACATGCATCTTTTCATTTTTATTTTTTTTTAGAAGTATAAACGATAGTCTAAACTAGAGAGTGGGGTTTCTCACACACATACAACTAAGTATCATGGGAGTTCGAACCTGAAACCTCTTAGCTGCAAGTTAAAACCATTTTTCTATTGGATTAGACCTTCTTTATTATACATGGAGTATAGGCATAAATTACAGAAAAAATCGTAAAGTGTAAAGCTTGTGGCCCATCAAACTCTACATCCGCCATACGTAGAGAGAAACTTACCTACCCACACTAACTAGTGTGGACCCCATCTCATTTAATCATTGTACCGGGGAGGATCCGTAAGACATGGCCATACAATACAACTTACAAGACTAGTTGAGCCAAGGGAAAAACTCAACCAAGTGAAAAGCCCAAAAATCCAACTCAACTATCCAAGAGAATAATAATTAGAGATATTTAGTCATATATCCATTCTTAGCACTCATAATATAGATAAACCCTACACCATTTAATTTTTATAAACAAACCCCAAAAAAACCCAAAAAATGACAGCTGGCCCTATTGAATTTAATTTTGATTATTAAATTACTTTGATACCCTATTGAGTGTTTTGGGCTTTTTTATGAGATTTTGGGGTTGGGTTTGTTTTAAGAAATCAATGGCAGTTTTGTAATTTAAAATAAGTTAAAAGCCCTTTTGTTTTGTTGTAAATGGGTTTTGGATGTGTTTCTAAAGTCTATTTCATATAAGTTTTTTTTTATAATTTGAGCTTCTATATTGGGTATAATAGTGAACCTCCCTAATAATTAAGGGTTCGACATTAAAATACTAGAACACAAATAAATAATTATCAAAACCCCTCGCACAAAAGAAAAACCAAGAAATATATTGGTTAAAAGTCACTTTTGATCCCTGTAGTTTGGTACTTCAACCACTTTTGACCATATAGTTTTAATTCCATCAATTTTGACCATGTGGTTTCGTATTTGTAGCAATTCAAGGACAAGTTAGTATTCCTGTCAATTTCTTTGACAATGCAAGGGGCAATTTCATCAACCCAAAATCCTTGATCATAAAAGCTCGTCTGAAACTCCCCTAATTTCATATTAGGGCTTAAAATTGGTCGTTTGGGTTTAGGTTTCTTCAAAAATTGGGATTAGTGGTTGAATTTCGAGCCCTAATATGAAATGGGGAGAGTTTCAAACAAGCTTTTGCGCTCAAGGGTTTTGGGTTGACGAAAGTATCTCTTGCATCATTAAAGAAATTGACAAGAATACTAACATGTTTTTGAATTGCTACAAATACGAAACTACAATGGCAAAATTGACGGAATTGAAACTATAGGGTCAAAAA